CACCCGAGGGTTAGGACAGCACGAAGGCCCCCATTTAAAGTGCCGACCATGCAAAAGAAGAAGATGGAGGAGCAACATCCTTCTCCCCCTTTTTCCATGACAATTTCCAATTGAAACCCATCTCCTTCACCAAGTCACAACTAAGCCTATTCTTTTGGACATTCACTCAGTTATATACCGGGTGTTTTTTTTTTTAAAAAAAAAGTTAGTAAAAAAGTTACACTGAATTTCCCAACTCTTTGCAATGGGCTTCCACCAACTACAGGTCCAGAAACTGGAAGAGCAGAACCCACAGGTTTCACCTGGCCCCAAGACTGCAGCAGAGAGCCAGCTCTGCTCTCCAGGGTCAGCCAGGCGTGAGCAGCCCTGCTCACCAGCATCAGAGACCCAGGGGATGCAGAGTCTTGCCAATAAGGTCCTTTTACTTGTTTAAGCCACCTCTGAATCCACTGAGAAGGGGAACAATGTGGGGAAGAACGTCCCCTCCTCAGCCCCCCAGGAATACAATATCAATGAAACAATAATGCAGTCAAAAAACACCAGCCTGCTGGGTTTATAAAAAAAATTTCAATAAACTTCACAACAACAACAACAACAAAAACCCCAAAGGGAACTAGCCAGCGGTTTGGGTCTGGAAACTGATTCACTTCTCAAAATGTTCAAAGTCCAAGAAGGAACAAACGGCAGCAATGCCACAAGGAAAAAAGTGCTCGTGAGACGCAGCTTCCCGAGAGACAGCAGCGAGTCTGCGGGACAAGCGACCCCACTTCCATCACCGCTGCCTCGTACGCCCACCACCGGCCAGGGACCGCTGGGCATCGCTCGTGATGGGTGTGCGACGGGAGCTCTGCGCAGGATCTAGAAACAGGAACAGACTGCTCCTTCCTCCCTCCGGGTCTGCTCTGGGTGCTCCAGCCCTGGCTGTGCTGCACCAGGCTGAATGACTAGGGCTGCTTTCTTATTCAAAACAAGGGGTAGGAGAGCTAAAAAGGTACATAAAGACCACGATCTGTGGAGTCAATAATAATGTGGAGACAAGGAAGAGATACCCTATGAGACACAGTTATCAAAAACACGAGCAGCGATGTGCCAAGCCACTGGAAGAGAAGCCAGAGACATGCCCAGGTTGGCCACAGTTATGCGACGGAACAGGTTATGCCTCTGCCAGCCTGGGAAGATGAGACCAGCTTTCTGAAAAGCTTAACTACTTCTCCTCTTGCTTCACTTGGAAGAGATTCCTCCCTCTGCCCCACTGGGGATTTCGTGACATGCCGAGCTGCCAGCGCCTTGGAGCAGCTGACTCTTGCCAGTGGGAGCAGAAGAAAGCCCTGGGTTCCCAACTGCTCTGACAGTGACTGCCATTGTTTTTCATGGGAACAGAAGCAAAGCAGCAGAAGTGAGCTGGGTTTTGGCCTCTTTCCTGGCTTATATTTGCTTCTCTCAAGTCCCGGTTGGACCTGATTTCCTGAGGGGCTTCGCTGGCCCCTGGGGAGCGGCAGGTGCTGGGGAGCAGCCTGACCCTCAGCTCCGCACAGCCACGGGCAGGCAGGGCAGGAACACCCACTGCTGCCTGAGCCTGCTTCTGCCCTCACCCTGACCTGAGCAGAGGGTCAGGCCAGGCCTGGCTTTCTGGCAGAGCCCCAGGGAGAGAGAAAAGCGAGCCGTCCTCCCCTTCCTGCAGACATGCATCATCCCAGGAACAGGGCAGGATGCTCACCAGCCTGCTAGTGAGTGCCAAACCTACCCAGACTGAATGAAGAAGAGATCAGCATTAAAAAACTCCAGCAAGAGTGAAAGAGTTTTTGTTCTAGACAGACTCAAAAGATCCAATACTTTCTCCCCTACATTAAACCAAACCAAGGTGTTGTCTGTACCCCTTCTTACCCTAATCCAGATTTAATTCCCTTTGAAGGGAAAAGGTGAAAAAGATCCGTATCCTATATGTGGTCTGTCCAAATACAGAAAGAAACCTCTTGACTTGAAGAGAGAAACCATCGAAACAGAGTAAGCAGCTGTATAGCTTTGCCGCACTGCCTAGCACCCTCCCCACGCAGCCATCCTTAGCTAGCAAGGCGAAAAAAATATAAATCAAGGCCCTTTCATTCCTTGTTTCTTATTCTGCCAAATTCCCTTTTCTAGTAGCTCATCTGCATGCATTCTGGCCACAACAGACCACAATTAATCCTTTTTTTTTTTCTCCTTCTTTTAAAAAAAGGCTTTACAATAACTAAGAATTTGAACAACAGTGTGACCAGTTATAAGTCTTTCCTTGCTGAATGGGACAAAAGTGTGTGCCTGTGCAAGTGTGCACACACACGCGTATCAGAGGAGGGCACATTCCCAGCCATGCCCAGGAGTGTGCCATTGCTCCGAGTGCACGGCCGTTGAGTGCTACTACAGTACACCGGCAAAAGAGGAAAGGGCACTACACAGAAATAGCTTATCGGCTGAGAGTCTCTGTACAGGAAGGGCTGCAAGCACAGCCTGCTGACAGCCCACGGCTGGAGTCTGCATAGATCCTCGTTTGCAATTCAGCTGCCAGGAGAATCTATAAGTGGGAGCTGAAAGGGACTGACATCTCTGCCACGCACTGCAAGGAAAAGAGGCAGCTAAAAGTGTCAAACAACTGCAGAAACCAAACCCAAAGAAGAGCAGTTGAAAGATCAACCAGAAAAGTTTGAAACCTTGTCAGAAGAGTTCACTCGCCATGGAGCAGGTAAGAACAGCTGCTGTGGCTAACGCAGCAGCAAACACTCATTCTACCTTTGAAGGCAGGGACAGTGGCTTCTCCCTAGCCCCAAAAGGAACCAGCCCAGGTATAGATCCCTGCTGACAGGGCATGAAAGGCCAACCAACACCAATTCCCTTACTGGCCCAGGCCAAGAGAGGCAATTGTTAATCACCACAACAACGGAGAGACCACTGAACTCAACTGCACCCTGCTCTGGCCCAGGGGAGGGCTATCAGATAACCAGATTCTTTTCACAGTTCAAGAAGGGCAGTTCCCTTCCTGAGCCAAAAAAAAAAAAAAAAAAAAAGAGGCTTTGTATTCCAAGCTCAAACAGTGACTATTTGCTGAATCAGTCCAGCGAACAGGGATTACACTCCTGGAACAGCAAGTAGAAGCCTCCTCTGGGTAAAATCTGGAACCTCTAAAGTGCTCCTGCTAATGCTAATAGATGAACACTGCCCTTCCATGCCCAGCAGTGGAAGGGCGTAACGTGGTTAGTGGTATAACAAGCACTAGCATTTAACCATTTATCAACTCCCATCTGGATTGCGGTAGTTTTCTGAAATGCACTTTTGGGAGGTATTTCCTATGAGAAGAGGATATTTGGGGATTTGAGGGTAGGAAGGTGAAGTGCACACCATAGCATACCTTGTTCAGTAAAACCGTTGCCTTGGAAGGTGATGTTCCCTTGCAGAGTCAACAGAATAAAGCATCCTGCAAGTGGCCATTTCACCGTGTCACCAACAAGCAGCTCTCGGTTTGGTTTAGAATGGTTTTCCCCTCCCCCAGTGGTTTGAAGAGTTCACAGTGGTATAACCCAATGTTTTGGGGAGAAAGAAGCTGAGAAGTCCCCTGTTGTAAGTGAATGGGTGGAGTGAGGGATGCAGATGAGCAACATCCTCTAGCACTAAGGATAAGCCCAACAGACGCCTTGTGTCTGATCAGAAACAGGGGGAAGGCAGGCACTGGAAGAACCGGGAAGCAGAGAATGGTAATGCCAATGCAGGGAAAGTGCATGATCTGGAGTGGTCTCGGAGTAGTTCTGCAGTGCAAATGTATGGGGAGGGGCGTGGAGAAATCCCTTCTGGAATGCTGCATGAAGAGAGGTAAAGGTTGGCATCCATGTGGCAGCAGACTGGGTAGGGGGCCTGTTTCCAGCAGCTCTACCCTGTTCTTCACATTTAGTGGGTTTCAATCACCACTGGCTCGTAAACTCCAGATGAGACCCTGGGGAGGCAGAGGGGGAGAAGATGAGAAAGCCAGATTATTTTCCTTAGTCACTTTGAGCAAGCAAGTTCTTATTCAGAGCTCTCCACTCAAAAACATTGCCTTCTAACCCCACACAAAATACTGAAAATAACGAGTCAGTCTGGCGAGAAGTCAACTCTCATAACGCAAACCAGACAGCTACGTGGCAAGCTAACACTAGAGCAGTTGAAAGAGTTGGGTGTAACACACGAATCCTTCTAAAGGACAGAGGAAAGGGGGAAGTATCCTGCACAAAGAGCCAGTGTTCCTGGCTTTGCTTTGCTCCCAATTTTGTCACCGACTTGACACATCTTTGCATTACCATTATTGCTTTTTTTTTTTTTTTTTTTAAAACCTCAAAAGGTGCTATAAAGGCTCAAACGCAACTAGCCAAGACACTGTACTAAGAGCTATTGTGGCAAGAAAAAGTTTTATTTGTTCAGAAGTCTTTCATGAGAGAACAAGCCCTCGACAAAGATGGAGGAAGCAGGAAAAAGGGGCAGTAAACCAGCCTGCTGCAGTTTTGCTGCAGGCCAGCAGGAGGCAAAGCCTCCTGCCTTTAGTCGCGTCCAGGAGCAAACAGGAACCATCCTCTACCATTTTGTCCTTTTACTCCTTACTTCTGTTCTTGGATCTAACAACTAGGATCACATTATCCCTCTGAGCTCCTGCTGTGAACTGCATTCATGCTCCAGTGCAGCTGCAGCCTGTCACCAAAGGGATCACAGGGGTGTTAATGTGGGAATAAAGCCACCACATAGCACGTGATACTTAGAAATCTCTGCTGTAGCAAAATGGGAAAGTTTCCTGGGTACAAAGAGCTAACTAATCTCTTTGGAGCACCTGTCTGCCAGCGTTTCAGGAAGCCTACCTGTTTCCCAGCTGAATACCACTCAATGTAGTTGTTCCATCTCTGCTCACAAACAACCTCAGGTTACTGTCTGCAGACAGAAAAGGAAATAAGACTTCAAAATCCAGAACTACTGACGGCTGCCAGGTGCTCCCCTCCCAGCCACATTACACAGTGGTCAGTATGGGAACAAGTGCATTTTTGGGAATGCATGTGCACACTTTCTGGTGTTCCCACAGTAACAGAGCCCCTGGCAACACCTCCTCTTGCTCTGAAAGGGAGCCTCATGTACAAATCAACCGCAGCATTAAGCTTTGGAAGAGTAAACACAGAGAAATTAATTCAGTGATACTCCTCCAGCTGCTTCTTTTAAGGCAATTCCATTGATGCAAGTTCTTGGTCAGCTTAAACACACCTGAATAGATGAGATGTGGGACCTCATGCTGCTTTTGTAGGCTCACTGGAGAAGAAACTCAGCCTGTTCTGCTGGTGAGAGGTGGCTACATTCAGTCTAGTTTTAACCCATGCTGAGCAAGGTGTAAATCCCCATGTGGTAAGAATGTTGCCATATGTGATGATTTAAGATGACTACCTATAGAAGTACTAATAACAAACTAGGCTCAGGTTTCAAACTTATCAAAAAACCTCAACTAGATGAAAAAGATTGATTTCTAGGCTAAACCGGAAAGTTAAAACAAATGCAGCAATATTATTAGTTTTCTCTTAACAGATGCTGTGACAGCAATGGGGAAAACCCCTTCTTAGGCTCTCAGACAGACCTGATCACCAGCACACTGCGACCCATCTCTCTTCCCTTTTTTTTGTAGGGACGTGCTGTTTCCCCTCCAGTTGTGCTCTCCTACTTTAATAAATACCCTTGGGCTGACCCTGGACGAAGGCCACTAGAGCAGTGCAGACAGCTGATGTAGCTGATTTCCACTGCACTGAAGTAACTGGTATTTTTCCCCTCTCATCCTGTACGTTTGAGCTACTGTTCAATCTCTGCTGTAGTGTGTAGAACAGCAGCAAGCGCTGTTTGCTAATGGATGTGCAGCTCTCAAATCCACATGGTTTGTTTACCTACCACAGAAACACCTAGGAAGCACTGAAAGCAAATTGCTGTCAAAAGAGAAAGGAGTCCATGGCAGACCAGATCTAACTGTAAGAGCTTGGCAGCCTTGCTAAAAGAACAGCCAAGACCTCCCCTTTGAGTCTCATCCTCTCACCTTCAGTATTGCTGACATCTGTGAAGTCCTGACTCTGCATTATTTTCTCCACTATATCATCAGCATCGATCCTGGTGTCATCCACTCGGGTTGGGTGACTCTCCACTGAATCCTTTTTCCTCCTGGGGAGAGAAAATAAAGGGAAAACTTACTCAGCTTTTTAAGACACAGACTTCCAGATACCCTCTTGCTTCCCTTGGCAATTAGCCTCCTTCTAAGCAGCTACAGTCCAATCTACCACTGCACAAAGACAAGAGATTCTGTCTCGCCGTCCCAGAGAAGGCACTTTGATCCTCAGTTACCTACCGGGAGGGTCTATCCAGCAGAAGGGCTGGTCTGGGGGGGCGAGGTGGCTTCTCTAGCTTGTGGTCCCGCTCTCCCTCAGGACACTCCACTGTCATACTCAGCCCTCCGGATGCACTGCTGCTGGTGGAGGTATTCCGGCGATGGGTCAAGTCGGACATACTAGAAGAACGGGAGTGCTCCGTGCTGTAACCTGCAAAACCAGAGTGATTACAGACCAGATCTTCTCCCCTTCCTGGCAGCACAGTTAACAGGCAGGGCAGCTTCAGACCAGCATTTCTGCTCTCATATACAGAGGTTTAGACATACATCTATGAGCTCATTTGCAGAGACTAAACAGGAGACTGATACTAAGGAGCAGGGTGAGAGAGATGGCTGCAAATCACTTGCACAAGAGCTTGTTGCAGGAAAGAAAAAGGGATGGGGCCAGTGCTGGCAGAGCCGTGTAGATCAATGGTTACCGGAGATCTTGGACTGCTGGCTGGCATAGCTGGAGTTCCGCGAGTGCCCCGAGTGGAAGACTTCCTCCGGGCTGGACAGGTTCTGATCTGGTTCTTCTGGGACACCTGCCAAGGAACAACAAGGCACTCCACTTACAACATACCCAAGCCAGCGCATTGCCTGCTGATCACCTTGGACTGGAGGCTGATCTTGGGATGCTAGATCAAGGAAAGGGCAAGTCTGTTGGCAGAGCCCTGCTGTACAGGCTTAGAAGAGCTTAGAAGCAGCTGGGGAGTAGGGAAGAGAACAGTGAGGTTCTCTGTCAGGCTTATCACTAATTCTAGCATCCAGTGTCTGAATTTACAAGCATCTCTGGGGGCTTGAGCGATATAAACAGGTAGCATAAAAGCTATCCATAGTTAAAAGCATTAAGCTAAGTCCAAGAAAGCATCAAATGGCCACTGACAGTAAAGTATTACAACCCCCGTTTGGGTGCTTCTCCAGTTACTACCTTTCCCCTTCTATTACTTGTGAGAGAGCCCATGCCATTTAAATCACATCTGAATTTGATACAGAAACCTCAGCATAACTTCTGCTCCTTTGCTATTGCCCCAGCTTGTCTCTCTTACAGCAAGCTTATCCAAAAGTGCACAAGTGTAACATGTTAGCCAGCTTTTTAAGAAGAGCACTTGCACACTGTGCTAAATCACTGAGGCAATGAGACTGAAGTGCTATTTTGGTGCAGTGTATCTGCCTGCACATTTGCAGTGTGCTGGGAAGAAAAAAGGCTATGGAAAAATGCAGTGCCCTTGAAAACGGGCTTATAGAGAAGCCAAAGAACTCCACATCAGCAGCTGGAACAAGGCCATTAGACCTCAAACCAACCTCTAAAACCTTCAGAGGAACTTTTCTAGAAGATAAGCCTGAGCAACAGAATAGCTGAGTGGAGAACAATGTTAAGTGTCAGTGAACACAACAGAAAGCAGGGATGAGTGTGATACATGAATTATTAAATCCCCAGCAAAAAGAACAAATTGCTTTATCTTCACTAACAGAAATACGTGGCAAAGTTTCATGCTTCCCCTCCTCAGTTGCACTTAATATCTGTCTAGTTTTGTTTTTCTCAATTTTCTTAATGAGCAGATGGGTGAGGATGGGTGCGGGAAAACATGAAAAATTAAAGAGTTTCTGTACTTGCAACTGCTGGGAAAAACAAGAGTGTCCAGGCACAGCCAAGTGTTGCATGGCTCCAGGACCGGCATTCATACCCGAGCTGAGAATGGCAGTTCTTGGCTTGGTCTGACGCAGAGAGCCAATCGTGGCTGAACTGCTGCTGCTGCTGCTTGTGGTTCCCTCGCCCTTACAGGTCAGCTGCAGGGTAGAGTCCTGTCCCGGTATGGTGATGGATTTGGCGGTGGAAGGAGGCCTGTAATCAGAAGCAAAGAAGGTTACAAACTGCCAGGCGGGACCGGGAAATCACCCCACCACACCGGCAATTCCCACTCTGCTCTATCAAGAGGGTTCCCCCGCCTGTCCCTACCCTTCGTGGGGAGCGGGGAAGCTTGCAGCCCTCTGTGACTAGCAACACAGCATGACATTGGATTTTGCTTTCCTACATGCAAGGCTCAGGTCTTCCCTATCTTGTACTGCATCTGGATTGCATTACAAGGAGCAAGTTTCTGAGGTAAATTAAGGCTAAAAGGGACCATTCAATCATTTATACAGAACAGGCTCAGAGCGTGCACTATCCTCCAGAAAGAAGATCATGCAGAGCTGCCCTTTTCCCCCCAACATGTGTCCAGTGGCCAGTTGGCCTCACAAACAGGAGCCAGCTTGCTGTTGTCCAGCTCTGAATTCCAGCATCCTTTTGTTACACCTTTCTGGCTCAGGTCAAAAAGAAACCTTTTATCCCAGCAACCCTGTCCCCCTGTGAGAGTACTTTTACAACGATCAAATAACCTTTCCATTTTTTAACTGACGATTAAACTCCTTTTCAGTGAGACTAAAGTGTTTTTCCAGCTGTCAAAATTATTCTTCTGGTTGTTCCGCGTGCTCCTAACATCGCTTTGTAAATGCTGACTGCAGAGCAGAGCGGTGAGTGCCTAGAGCCCCCTTCCTCCCTCCAGAAGTGTTTTTGGGTGGAAGCCACAGCATATGCAGCGTGGCAAAATGAATATTCCAGCTGGAGCCCAGACCTGAAGTTTGAACTGGAACTAATGGATCATATTATGCTTTTTAAGTGAGGAGTGAGAAAGAAAAACTTTTTATTTGTCTCACTTGGAGCTCTGAGGGAAGGTGCTACATGAGAGGACCTTTGCAGTATTTTGGGAGGAAAAATAAAGTGCTGCAAATGTTTTATATGGGCAGCAAAACAGTCATAAAGGTTTCAGGAAACCCACAGCATGCCTTCCCCAGAAAAAAAAAAAAAACAACCCACAAACAACTCCCTAATCACATTATCAGTGATTTACATGCACCTGGGTACTTTGGGGACTTTGCTTTGCAGGTTAATAAGGTCTTTATAGCCTTAATCAAGCAAACCATTCCTGCAGCAGCTGTCAGAGCAGCCCATGGGTCTGTCAGCCCAGGCTGCTCAGCCTGCTCTCCCCTCCTGCACGACACCCAGGAGGAGAAGGTTCATCTGAGTGCTGCAGAGAGTCAGAGCTTCGAAGCGATTTCCCAGCACAGTTTAATTCCTGCCTAATCCCCTAATGAGTGCCATTTCTCAAAAGCTCTACTGATAAAAGACTATTCTACATGCAAAGCTTCCATTTTTAGACATTTGCACATCGTCAACATATAAGGAAAAAATGGGAATGACTGCAGAAATCCCTTAAGAAAATTAGGAGGTTTGACTTTCAGACTGACCCTGCTTCTATTAAATGGATATATATATCCAATTCTGTATAATTTTCAGGCACTCTAACAGTGAGACTTGCTTCCACAGTGAAGAAGCAACAGGTATTTTTGTCAGACATATTATTGCCAGACTTCCTAGTACCCTAGGTTTAAAACATCTGTTACTGTTACAGAGTTATGGTTTAAGATGTCCAAAACTTCTTTATTACACTTCCTTCTGAAGCAGAAATTTTTCAGAATCAGATGACATGGCATTTAGGGTTTGAAAGTCTTAGAAAACGCTGCAGCACTATGAAAAGCCATTCACAAAATAAACCAACCAAAAATTATGCAGCATTTTATAACAAGAACGCAAACTAATTTATACACTTTAAGCTAGGTCCTAAAATTAGACCTTTTAGCCCAGAATACCACTGCTGCAAAAGATGGCCTCAAGGTAAAGCTTTCTTCTCTCATACTGTTGGGAGTCAACACAAAATACTTGAGTATCAGCACACGGCAGTCCTGTATAGTCACACACCTTACTGCACAGTAAGGCAGGCTGGTTTGGACTGCAGAGTCTTGCAACATTATACTGTAGTATGAAGGTATATGTTGCCAGTGTATTTGTTAGTTGATCCCCCAAGAATTCTTTAAGCAACAAAACTGCTTCATAGCATAACTATACTTATTCTTTCTCATCACGATGCATGAGAAGTACATGGTTGCAATTTCTTTGGTAATTAATAGAAATTGGGTCCCTGTAGAAGAAAAGGAAGAACTAAAATGTTTCAGCCTTGCAGTATTTTTGTTGCTGTTTCAATTCAAGATCTTTATCCTGTGTGATATGTGCTGAAGTGTGTCCATTTCCAAGACTGTTTTCTTCATTGACCTTTCCCTTCTTGGAGGTCAGCAAAACCAACCCCAGAGCTATGAGAAGTTCTGTCCTTCATGCAAAACATGAAGTTTGTTATCAACGTACATTAGTTTCCAAAACTTAACTGACACTAGCAGGGAAAATACTGGCAAAACCAATAACCAAGCTGGGAAAACCAGAGCAGAGGACAAACCAATCAACAGCACTGGCTGGCTTAGCTATTCTGGCTGATTCAACAATCCAGACCATCATTTTCAAGCTCTCCCCCATATTTCCCAATATCAATGGCATCTTTTCCCGCTCCCCATCAATTTTAGTCTTCAGGAGAGAAAGGCAAAAGAACCAGGTGTCCTGGTCTGCCCAGAATGGGGCGAGCACCCAGAAACTCACGTTTTGAAGCAGGGGTCCCCCGAGAGCAAGGACATTCCGATCGTGACCTGGAGAGGGGGGGACAAGGCACATCGTTAGCCACGCTGCAGTGAGCTCCTCACTTCACAACAGCCAGAAGGTCAAGGGCTAGGTGTAAAGATTAGCAAGACCTAGCTCCTCTCCAAAGCAAATCAGCTTCAGGGATTTAGCAAGGTATTTCCCTCTCTGCCCCAAATCACTGGCATCAGTAACTCCAAGTTGCAGTGGCTTGGCAGGACACCAGCCTGGCCACCCTGACAATGCACTTAGAACTTTTTTCCCCGCTCCTGTCCGTGCTTTCTTTGATGACAAAGAATGCCATCGAGGGTCACCGGTTGGCCAAATGGATGCCAAGATATCAAAGGGCAACTCTGATAATGAGAAACTTCCCAAGTCAGACTAGCAGCGTAAAAGCAAAATCCTGTCTCCATACACAACAGAACCTTCTCTCAGGCACTGCACTCTGGCTGCAATCTTTCCGAATTAAATAGTAGCATTTCCACTCTAGCAGCACCAGCTGCCGTACCTTTAGGATGGAGTTGTCTTGTCGGGTGTTCTTAGTATCATATCCTTCCAGCAAGCAGCAACGGACAGTGGATCCAGAGCCTGCAAATTCTGCCAGATTTAGATCAGCAAAGCCCAGCTGTAGCCAAGAAAACAACATAAGGGAAGGGGAGAGAACAAAAAATCACTCAAAGGGATACGTGGTGTCACACAGACCAAAGGAAGAGAGCGCATCTGCGAGCAAGGGCAGAAACAGGAGCCGGTACACACACAGTTGTGGCTGTGAAGAGCCCCTACTCTCAAGGATGGACAGGGTCACATTCCTAAACCCAAGCCAGGTGGACACTCAGGAAGCCAGCCCCACGTGGAGGAAGTATGTACAGTAGTGGTGCTGGCCAGGACAGCGTTAACCAGCCCACAGTCATTGCATAACCAAGGACATGGAAGGCACTAGGTCAACGATGTGGAAAAAACAGAATCACATACACAAACATAATAAGGCACTCTTTGTATTGGGCCATCCCAGAATGCAGTGGAGCATGTGAACCAGGAGATGAAAGGATATTGTTACAGAGGAAAGTGACACTGTCCTGAAAAACAAAACAGACTTTCAGCACAGCAAGCTGGAAGTCCAGAGCCATGCAGCAGTGCATGTGCCTCACACCCACAGATGCAGCTGCTGTGCTGGGGAACTCCTGGAGCAAAGTTTCCTCAACACTGCTAAGATTTAACTAGCAAGTGGTATGTTTGACAGGCAGAAGGGAAGAGAAATATTTGGAGAGATTTAGTTGTGACCTCTCTAAACCTCCTCTAACAAAGGGGAAGCAAATAGGGAAGGTGACAAAAAGTTGAAGATCATAGGCAAATTCAAAGAGGGTACTTGATGCCTCTAGAGTAAAGACAAACACAATGAAGACTACTTTTGTTTTTCTGCTTGTGTATTAATATTCCTCATGCATTAATAAGTGTTTCAAAGAAAAAGTTACAGCTTCTTTTATGTAGAACTTCAGCAATAGAAGTCAGTCGTGTCTCATGTAATCTGATCAGGAAGAGATGCTGTACCCCATATTTGGCCAAACCGTCCAAGCATGGAAAGCCTGCATCACTTCAACATACAGGTCAGCTTCCATGAGAACATAGAGAGAAGGTGGAGAAGCAGCAGCTCAGACCTAGTTGCTATTTTGCACGTTGCAGTACATTTCTCCTGCCCTAGTGTTGACAACCAGATGACACAACTAAACAGGGAGCCCCAAACAGTAGCACCATCCTAAGGAAATGTGGTACTCTGTCAACTGTGGAAGCTGATAGGGAGTCACAGCACAAACCACAGTCACTGCCATATGAACCCTGGCTCCCACTGTTCCAAATCAGAAGTCTAAACCACAGTCTGCACAAGATATATGATTCAGGGGAAGACAGCAGCAAGATTAGCATAGCTGCTTCCTCCATCCCATTCTTAAAGGGGAACAAGAGCTGATGGCAAAGGGGAGGGGGAAAAAAAATAGCGTGGGATAGAGCAGGAACCTTTCTTCAGCAAAAAAAGGAAGGGGAAAAAATAACCTAATTTTTCTCCCTCTTTTCTGCCTCCTTAAGAATTCCCTTAATGCAAGTGTTTCTCCAGCCCTTGCTGTAGATGTTCCTCTGCCTCTTCTAGCCAAGGGCTACGCTGCTTGCTGAATATTCACCGATAAGAAAAAAAAAGCCAACCCAGTGAATTTTTATCTCTCAGAGATAAACAGGACAGGAGAAAGCCACAGAGGGAGCTGCAATCCATCACTGTGACAAAACTGGAGGACAGAGGAGACATGGCACGACCACACCAGCAGAACAACATGGCACAGGAGTGGCCCAGACCCAGATCCCTCTTCCTCCACCATAGCACTAACTTCTTGGAGAAGATCGACATCAGAGGACAGTGTGGGAGAACCCTCTAGCAATCCATACGGTGCACTGAGGTCAGAAGCTCTTCTCAGGAAGCAGACTCCCAGTATATAGAGGAAGGATCCTTAACAAAAGGATGTTTTCAGATGTAACCTTTCAGAATAGTTTCCTCAGTTTTCCAGCCAGCTGATGGTGTTTCTT